CTTGAAATACACACGTAAGCCTCTGCCCTTGCGCGCTTGTCCTTGAAATACACACGTAAGCCTCTGCCCTTGCGCGCTTGTCCTTGAAATACACATGTAAGACTCTGCACTTGCGCACTTGTCCTTGAAATACACATGTAAGACTCTGCACTTGCGCACTTGTCCTTGAAATAAGGTCCCAGGAGCCCAACGGTGTTCGCTTCAGGCCGTTCCAGCACAGCAAGGTGTTTCTTAGTAAGGTGTTGCGTTCACCGCGGTTCTCTTTCTTTCCTGTCGATCCAGGGACAGAATACATTTTGATTCTACTCTTCAGCGTGTTCTGCATCGCAGCCTTGCTTCACAAGGTCCCCTCTGTGCAACTGGGAAATCATGTGATTGGTTTGTCTATAGTTTGCTTCTTAAGAAACTTCCGGAACAGATGCAGCAGCTTGAGTTTAAATCTTAAAAACCTTCATAAACGTATTTGGTAGGTTTTCTTTGGTAAGCTCTTGCTGTGCCCTGTTCGTCAAGTAGGAGTCTGGGGAAAGATTCCATTAAAATAGGAGGAGGGAGTGAATTGCTCAGGAAGGCAGTCAATAGAAAACGTTTCAGAAAATATCAAAACTGGAACAATTGGTGAAACTCAGAGTTATGTGCAAGGCCCAGCAATTTTAGTAAATTATGTTCTAACAAATAATGAGTCATATTAATAGATATATTTGGAATGTTCTTTAGAAACCAAGAGTATTTCATGTTTTCTAAATTTATGCTAAGGAGAAAGGGTCTGGAGACAGTCAGTTTTAAGGCATCAACACTCCATATCTTTTTTTTTTAAAAGAAAAATCACGATAAAATATTTTTGGAATTTCATATCTATCTCACTGTCAGTAGCAGAGCAGATAGAACCTTTGTTTTTTGGAAAATAATAAACAGGCGATGTATTCGAAGGGTTCTTTTACTTATAACTTCCTCTCTCATTACGCAGCGGGAGAATCCTAGCACAGCTAAGATTTATTTCCACGAGGCTGTGGAAACCTTGACACCGTCATCCAGTGTGTTTAGTCTCACGTCAGACGCGAATGGCGCGACGCTATCTGTGTCTTCATTTCAGGAGTTGTTTAAAATGTTAGCGGTTGAAAATCTTTAGTTCAGCCAGGCATTTGGTACAAAAAGAAAAGGCACTTTTCATTTTCTTGAACAGAAAATGAAGATGTTCACACCAGAACGGACGTGACTGGTGTTTCCGATTGCTGGTTACACTGCTCTCCTCACTAAAGCGTATCTTGGGTGAAGGGTTGCAGGGCTCTGCACCT